TGCATTGTTTTCACAGTTTCAAAAGCAAAAATATTTATTTAGGATGTGTTGTACCACCTTTTTGCTTATATATATATATATATATATATATATATATATAGTTCTGCTTGTGGAAGCAGGTGTGAAACTGTGGAATGAATTGAATGATGATTTCAAATTATATGTTTTTTCGGTGAGCTTTAAAAGAGCCTTAAAATGTAAAATTATAAAAGCTTATGGAGATATTATGTAGATGTATGTATGTAATGTGTGTGTATGTATTATATACATGCATATTTAAATATACAGTAAATGTATGTAATGTGAGTATATGTATGTATTATATACATGCACATTTAAATATACAGTAAATGTATGTAATGTGAGTATATGTATGTATTATCCATCCATTATCTTTACCCGTTTATTCCATTTTGGGTCACGGGGGTCGCCGGTGCCCATGTCCAGCAATCACTGTGCGAGGGGCGGGGTACACCCTGGACAGGTCGCAAGTCCATCACAGGGACACATAGAGACAAACGAGACAAACAACCATTCACTCTCTCACTCACACATAGGGACAATTTAGAGTTACCAATCAGCCTAACATGCATGTTTTTGGACTGTGGGAGGAAACCGGAGCACCCGGAGAAAACCCACGCATGCACGGAGAGAACATGCAAACTCCACCCAGAAAGGCCCCTGGACCGGGGTTTGAACCAAGGACCTGCTCGCTGAGAGGCAGCAGCTCTACCAGTTACGCCACCGTGCTGCCCATCAGCTTATTCCTTTTTTGGTAAATAATTGACTTATCATTTTATATTGTTTTTTCCTTTTTTTGTAACGTTTTTAATTTACCCAAAATAAAGTTGAGTTTGTCTGGTACGTTTACTGTTTCAGTCTAACCTGTTTGTTTATCTGCAAACTGTATTCAACAAACCCAAAAGTGAATATGTACCATAATATGAAAATGAATCGACTTCTCCATCCCTAAAAGCTCTTCCGAGGGCATCAGTTATTGTTGACATAACTTCATAGTAAAAAGAAAAGGTGTGTGGTAGTTGACAGCAGTTCATAAATTTTGCTTAAAAATTACAACTTTTTAAAATTTTGTCTCTTAACTTTGTTTCTGTATTTATTTATGTATTTTGACTGGTCTTTGTGAAATTGAAAAAGTGTCATTTTAATATTTCTCACTCAGTTTGACTTTTCCCTGAGTGATAGTAAAGTAAAAGTAGTTATTCTTGACATTTTATACAAATTACCATGAATGTTCTTATAACCAGCTTGTTAAATTGTTTAAAACCTGTTCCAACCAGTATCAATTTCAATTCAGTTTATTTGTATAGCACCAAATCACAACAAAGTTGTCACTTTACAGAAACATTCACATGCATAGAAAAGACATTAGTAAAGTTCTCTTTCTAAAGAAGCCAGCAGATGCGATGAATCTTCACTTCCTCGTAGTCTCCCATCCTGAGCAAGCACAGTGGCAACAGTGGAAAGGAAAAACTCCTTTTTAAAAGGAAGAAACCTCCAGCAGAACCAGGCTCAGGACAAGCGGCCATCTGCTTTGACCGGCTGGTTGAGAGGACAGGAAGGAGAGACAGATGAACACAGAATGGTAGATCCAGGTCTAGGTCCAGGTGTATCTGAAAGACAAAACCACATGTTAAGAATAGAAAAATAATTACAAATACAAAACAGGTTGAGCAGACTGAGTAAAGACAGTAATATAGTGAAGAAATGTGATCAGTTTGTCCTCCAGCAGTTTTTAAGTCTATAGCAGCATAACTAAGGGCTAGCTCAGGAAACCCAAGCCGACCCTAACTATAGGATTTATCAAAAAGTAGAATTTTAATCCCAGTCTTAAAACTGGACAATGTGTCAGCCTCACGGACAGAGATTGGAAGTTGGTTCCACAAGAGAGGAGCCTGATAACTGACAGCTCTGCCTCCCATTCTGCTTTTGGGAACTCTAGGAACCGCAAGTAAGCCTGCAGTCTGAGAGCAATGTGCTCTGTTAGGAAAATATGGAACAATAAGATCTGTAATATAAAATGGAGCTAGGTTGTTGAGAGCTTTGTAGGTTAGAAGTAAAATTTTGAATTCTATTCTGAATTTGACAGGAGAAAAGCTAAAACTGGAGAAATGTGATCTCTCCTATCAACTCTCATTAAAACTTTGGCATCAGCGTTTTGGATCAGCTGAAGATGTTTTAAAGAAGTATTTGGACACCCAGATAATAAACCATTGCAATAGTCCAGTCTAGACGTGACAAATGTACGAACCAGTTTTTCTGCATCATTTTTAGATGATATGTTTCTAATTTTAGTGATATTACGCAAGTGGAAGAAGACAGTTTTGGTAACATTTTAACATGGGGGATAAAAGACATGTCCTGATCAAAAATAACGCCAAGGTTTTTAATTTTAGAGCTGGAGGTCAAATTAATGTCATCTAGAGAAAGTGAAAGGCTGCAAAATTTATTTCTAAGATGCTCGTATCCAAAAACCACTTCCTCTGTCTTGTCTGTGTTCAAAATGAGAAAACTAAGGGTCATCCAGGTTTTTATGTCTTTAAGACATGCTTGTAGTCTAAGTAGCTGATTGGATTCATTGGGTTTCTTGAACAAATATAATTGTGTGTCATCAGCATAACAATGAAAATTTATCCCATGCTCTTTAAAAACTTTACCTAATGGAAACATATATAAAATAAAGAGTATTGGTTCAAGCATTGAACCTTGAGGAACTCCATGACTAACTTTGATGTATGAAGAAGATTAATTATTTATGTTTACAAACTGGAATCTATCAGATAGATATGATATAAACCAGTTTAGAGCTGTTCCTGTAATCCCAATATTGTATTCAAGCCTCTGTAGTAAAATATTGTGATCAACTGTATCAAATGCAGCACTGAGGTCTAACAGGACCAGTATAGACACTAGTCCATTGTCTGAGGCCATGAGAATATCATTAGTGACTTTTACTAGTGCTGTTTCTGTGCTATGATAAGCTCTAAACCCTGACTGAAACTCTTATAGTTGTAGATACATGGTTCAACAGAGATGGGACTTTTCATTAGTCTATCTACAATACTGAACAGAAACCTAAGGTTATTTTTATTCTCATCTATTAACGATGAATAATATAAAGTTCTAGCTTTACGGAGAGCTTTCTTATATGTTAGCAGACTACCTTTTCAAGTTGAATAAAATTCTTCCATGTTAATAGAGCCCCATTTTCTCTCCTGCTTTCTAGATGCCTGCTTTAAAGTCTGTAACTCAGAATTGAACCAAGGAGCCAGCTTCCTGATTGATTACCGTATTTTTCGCTATATAAGTCACACCTTTTTACATAAATTAGCATGTCCTGTGACTTATACAGTGAAGCTATTTATTTATGTTTTTTCCCCATATTTATAACGCAATTTTTTGGCTGAAATCTGATGATTTCATTCATTCTGACATGGAAAATATTGAACACTACCATTTTCAGCCACTACAGGGCAGTCGAGGAATATGGCAAGCCAAGTGTCGCATTAATAGTTAAAAGTGGCTATTAATGAGACACTTGACTTGCCATACCAAGCCACCATTGTCTCACTCTGGATCTCCAGGAGCAAACGTCAAATCAGCTGCATTTCACCACACCGCCCAAGCGAAATGCAGCTGATTTGACCAATAAAATGAATTTATTAAGGAAAAGTTCAACTGAGACACACCTTCGATATAATTTTGCGCAAACAAATAATTGTTTTTAAGTGTTAATCTTCTTAAATTCTTGTTAAAGTCCTCCCATGCACTCTACCGCGGCTGCCATTTGGCAGCCAATTGATTTTTTGGCACAACACCGGCCCACATTTCCGGGTGGTCAGCGGTGACACATAATAGATGCGACTTATACGGTGAAGCGACGTATTTGTTTTTTTTCCACTTTATTAGACATATTTGGACTGATGCGACTTATACAGCAGGGCAACGTGTACAACGGCAAGTACGGTGCTTTCTTTTTCCGCGGAGCAATTTTGTCAAGTGAAGTTTGCACTGAAGTTATAAAATTATCGTGAACTTTTATTATAAAATAAAGTCAATCATAGTAAATATAATTTACTTTCTGTGGATTTGGGTTTGTAATAAGTAACAGAATGCATAATGTAGCAAAAAATGTTTTTTTCATCATAATATCAATGTGTACAATATCATTAAAGGCTGCAATAAATCACTATACAATATAGTAGTTTAATACAAGTATTACAAGTAATATGTTTGACAATCACATGAACCCTCGCCGCACAAAATGCTCACAGCAGACTGAGGTCCTGATGACGGAAAAGAACGAGAGAAGTAAAGAAAATAGGAGTTTATTGCAACTAATGTCAGGTAATAATGCACAGTATAAACAATATTCAGTTATTTAATCGCCCCACCTGTCAGTGTTTAATACTTTTCTCTTTATATTTTAAAGCTAGCGCTAACACTAAAGATTAGTCCGTCTTTCTCGTCTGTCAAAAGCTCCCAACTGGCTCGTTAAAGCTCTGAATTTTATCCCATCTTCCCTCTCGCTTCTTGCCTTCAGTCGCCATGGCAACCAGTGTGAATCACCCTGAAGATGAGTGAAGCACATTAGACTGTGTCTTCTTTATCAGTTTTACCTTTTCCCCTCACAGCAAACATATTGGCTCAGAAAGATGCAGCAGATAATTGGGGTTGCCTCGACACGTGTTGATGAAGCTCCTCTCGCTCCAAACCTGCAATTAATTCATGTGTTGGGTGGGAGAAGAAGGGAGGTGAGCATCAATGTGTGGGATTCTTAACATTTTGAGGCTTGTGGTTATTTTTGCCCATTCTGCGTCTAAAAATCCTATTTATCTTTGATAATTTAGTAACTTTTTTAAATGATAGTTTTGGTTTAATAAGCTGTAAAATAGTCAGTGTTCTGCTGCAGACAGCTGCATGCTCTGACTCTCAGAGGAAAATATGGAAATGTGCCAGAGTTATGCTTTATGCTCACACAAAGATGCATTCAGGCACAAAACACAAACCTTTCCATGGGCTTTAATGTACAGCTGCAAATTATAAAAATGACCACTTCTGATTATTATGTGTCGGATCAGAATGCTTACAAAAATGTCTAATGCCTAAATTGACTTTTTCCAAGTTAATTTATTTCATTAAACTGCCAAGCTCAGAAATGGAAAAAAAATGAATAAAATATTAAAGTTAAATTTTTTATTTACAACTAATAATAATATATTATATTTTAATCAAATAAAAAATATATCTCAGTATTCATATTTATACAGATTTTTCTGTACTTTTTCCAAAAAAAAGAGATAAATATGTCTGGGGAAATAAAAGGTGAATAAAAAATAGGAGCTCCTTGCACGAAAATGGACGGATAATTAAATTGGTGATATTGAATGAAGCTCCATCACTCCTGCCACGAGAAATACTCTAATTGTAAACATTGCAAATAACTACTGAACTGCTGTCATATTGTAAAAGACAGGATACATCACAATGTTATACAGTAGCTGTTTTACTTGAAACAAGGAATGCATGGTACTAGAAAACCTTGCAATGTGCAATATTGTGTTTTTTAACTAGTGGGTGATTAGTTTGGTGCCATATTTTTTTGGATTATAAGGCGCATTAAGCAATATGAAAACATTTAGACTGATTTTTTCAGTGCCATGTACCGCATAAAATCGGTTCAAGGTCAGTAAGCACAACCAAGCGCACCGGATTATAAGGCTCACTGTTGATTTTTTTTTGAGAAAATTAAAAGATTTTAAGTGCACCTTATAGTCTGAAAAATACGGTATGTTTTCTCTGAAACCAATTCATCACCATTAACATTAAATCAAATATAAGAATGTGTACAGGTAAACGTCATTTATTAACAGTTTATCTTGCCTGGGTCGCTCATATTTAAATATTAATGTTGTTACAAATGTTTTATTTCCCAGCATTGGTGTTCTAACTGAGGGACAATGATTTAGTGTCTTTCTCATCTTAATTCTTGATTTAAGCATAGAGCAGATATAAGACACAGATTCATTATCAAACCAAATAAATCAACTTTCCAGCAGCACTTGAATGCATCGTGTCTGCATTTCTTAAATGCATCTGTTGAGAACTTTAAGCCTCAAAACTCTGAATTCACATATTTTACAGTTTGTGTGGACAGAAAGCTTTTTGACTGATAAAACCGTAAAATCTGTGGGGTAAAGAGCAAAAAATGTTTTTGTGAAATTAACGTTTGTGCGTGCATGATAATATAAATTTGCATTTACTCAGTTACACAGTAGCTGTTGTTCACAATTATATCACAAATTTGAGATGTTATGAGACTAATTTCTCTCCATGAATTAGCATTAGAAACAGAACATAAATTGTCTCTTTGCAGAGGTTAAAACCCAGATTTTTTTCTTCAGAGAACAACTTTGGGAACCATGACAACCATCCTTGAAAACAAATCACTACAAATGACCTGCTGCCGTGCTCCTAATGGACCATTAGTGCTGCAGCTGGTGACCGGGTCAGCCTCTGGAACCTTCCATGTTCTTGTTTGTGCAGTCAGCTATTGTTTACCCAGCGGTCGTGCAGCGTCATGATCTTATCGAGGCGTGTGTTTGCTGTAGTATTGTGTTTTTGTGTAGCTTCTTGTCTTTATGATTTAATAAATCAAACTGTAAAGGTCTGTGTAAAAGTCTTAATCCAGCATTTTTTTTAAATTTTGCTTCCAAGCAACCAGTTTTTCTTATAAAAATCTAGTTATTTTTTATGAAAATTTTTGTTTTTTTTCTTTAAGCACTTAACTCTGACCTTTTGAATTATTCAAACATAAAAAAGGGTTTTAAAGCCAAAAGATGAACCAGTGTTGTGTTAAGATAACTTAGCAAAAATTCATGTTTAAAAACTAGATATTTAGACACTTTGTAACCAACAGACTGATGACACAGACACAATTTGTTCTAATTTTTTTGTTAAATTTATAACAAACATTAATATAATGCAATTTGACAGACAGAAAATAACATTGTACCACCAAGATTCCCAAAGAGCAGTTAACTAAAAACTTTGTACAGAAGATGACGTGAGATGCAGATCTATAAAGAGATATCTGCTGGAGTTACAGAAGTTTTAGGTTTCTAATTTTTTGAGCGCACACTTTATATGCGATTACGGTCAGGGGCAAGGACTGAACTGAAAATGTGTAAAAAATAAATAAATAAATAAAAAGCAACTTCAGTCCAGAGAATACATTCAGAAAGCTTGAAGAAGTCTGACTTCTTGGAAACAGAGTCTGGAGACTGTTTTTGCATATTTGATGAGACACAGAATAGTATTTACCATAATTTCTGGACTTTTGAGCGCACCTGAATATAAGCCGCACCTGTATATAAGCCGCACCTGAATATAAGCCGCGCCCGCACCTGAATATGAGCCACACCTGAATATGAGCCACACCTGAATATAAGCACGCACCTGCATATGAGCCGCACCTGAATATAAGCCGCACATGAATATAAGCCGCACCTTAATATAAGCCGCACCTGTATATAAGCCGCACCTGAATATAAGCCGCACCTGTATAGAAGCCGCACCTGAATATGAGCCGCACATGAATATAAGCCGCACCTTAATATAAGCCGCACCTGATTATAAGCCGCACATGAATATAAGCCGCACCCACTACATTTAAAAAGAAAACATTTTTGTACATATATAGGCCTCACTTGTCTATAAGCCGCAGCCAGTTTTGGTAAACAGTTTCTCGCCGCTAGTCATCCAAGTCTCCCACTGAGCTCGGAGCACCATTTTAAATGGGGGGGGGGGGCTTCATATCAACAGGGAGGGGAGGAGATAATGGGAAAGGACCAATAAAAACAAGTTTCAGATGTTCAAGTTTCATTGGTTCACTGGGACTGTTCAGTAATTTCATTGGTCAGATTTTTTTTTTTTTAACCTTTATTTATGCAGGTAGTCTCATTGAGTCACGAGGACCCTCCCCCATGGAGAGATGTGTTTTGGGCAGCTATGTGAGCACACAGGTGTGACAAGGCTAAATGTTTTGGTGATGCTTGTTAGCTCATCAAAATAAAATCCACAAATTAGCCGCAGCGCTGTATAAGCCGCGGAGTTCAAAGCATGTGAAAAAAGTAGTGGCTTGTAGTCTAGACATTACGGTACCGGTAGTATCTTATCTTTGAAATATTCTGATAATACAGCATCCTCACACAGTAAAAGGGAAATGATTTCTTTAGAGTCACTCAGCTTTGTTAGAAGCCAGCAGTGGTCCAAATCTGTCTGAGCAAAATTTATATATTCAGAGTTAATTACTGTATTTTCTGTTTTTGTGTGTATATTCTGCAGAGAGACTACTACTACCAGTACACAGAGTGTGATGGCACAGGGTCACGATGGAGAGTTGCTATCCCGCTCAGTCCAGGCTCCTGCTCAGATCTGCCTCCACCAACCAGAGGAACAGACTGCTGTGAGTCCAACCAGAGAGTCTTTATGCTTCAATGTGCGCATTCACATTTACATAACATTATGTGTCTGGTTTTTCAGCTTTCTCCTGTTCAGCTGGGATGTTTTTGGAGATGTCCACACAGCTGTGCACACCGTGTGCAGCCGGTTCTTACTCTCTGGGCAGCGGGCTGAGGTTCGACCAATGGGACGCCATTCCTGCAGGCTTCACCAGTCTGGCCAGCTTCTTGGATCCGGGGCCGAATGGAGAGGACATCCAGGCCTGTAACAGGTGCCACAGATTTATTCAGGGAGTAGTCAATCAAATTGGACCGTACGATCACAGTTGTTTTATTGCTGCTCCAGCTCGTCGTGGACACCGCAGGGCGTGTACCTGGAGTCGAACCGCGACGAGTGCACGGTGTCTCTAATCTACGCTGTCCACCTGGAGAAACAGGGATCCGTCTCCTTCACCTACCAGTATCCCGACAACAACATTTTCTTTGAGTTCTATGTAAGGAGCATCCTGAAAACCAGATCACAAGTTCTGGCTTAAAAAGCATCTGATGACGTGTTTTTGTGCTCAGGTCCAGAACGAGCAGTGTCAGGAAATGGCCCAGACTGACGATCAGAAGTGGATTAAAGTCACTAATAATGGAGAATGGGGCACGCATACAGTGAGTTCATGTCTGTGCCAGTGTGGGGTTGTAAATCCTGTGGATCAGTGAGTGAATCTTTGCTTCAGGTGAGCCTGAAGTCGGGTACAAACATCCTGTACTGGAGAACAACTGGAATTCTCGTGGGAGGGAAGATGGTGAAACCTGTGCTACTGAAGAACATCCAAATAGAAGGTACGACCCAAACACACTCAAACTAAAATTATCCAGACAAACCTGAGTTAAAACACTTAAGAGGAGTGTTTGTGTACAGGTGTGGCCTACACTTCTGAGTGTTTTCCGTGTCGGCCCGGCTGGTTCAGCTCGATGCCTGGCTCTTCATCCTGCCAACCGTGTCCCAGCAACACGTACTCGTGGAAAGCGGCATCCTCCTGTACACCCTGCCTTGAACATCACTACTCACGTATGTACACCAAACACCAGTTTCCTCATGAGCAACACATTTTCTCTGAAAATGATTCAGTGCGGGACTGTAAGTCTGGAGCAAAAAATAAATAAAAGAGAGAAACTTTGCAAAACCTTCAAAAAGCAAAAACACTTTTTAGTAGATTATATATAGATCTGAATGCAAAACATAAAGGAATGAAGGATGATTCAAAACTTTTGCACAGTACTGTGCAGAAAAGTTCATTTTGACGTTTTTTTTGTACTGGGTGTTTAACATGAAAAGGAAAAAATACAATTTAACTGAACAAGTTTTACTGCTAACTCAAAATACAGGTTGTACAGCACTTTCAGGTTGACCTAATAATACCATATTTTCTGGCATACACGTCGCACTGCCATATAAGTCGCATCAGTCCAAATATGTCTAATAAAGTAAAAAAAAAAAAAAAAACATAAATATGTCGTTTCGCCTATAAGTCGCATCTATTATGCGTTACCACTGACAACCAGGAAACGTGGGCCAGTGTTGAGCCAAAAATTGATTGGCTGCCAAATGGCAGTCGCAGGAGCGTGCACGGAAGGACTTTAACAAGATTAACACTTAAAAACAATTATTTGTTAGCTTGAAACTATATCAAAGGTGTGTCTCAGTTTAATGTTTCCTTAATAAATGCACTTTAACGGTCGAATCAGCTTCATCTCAAAAGTATTCGCTGCCTCGTTGCTCGGGGAGCGCGCAGAGGGAGGAAGTCAGGAAGGAGGAACGCTGCGCATTTCTTCAAAATTTAACAAGATAACCACTTAAAAACAATTATTTGTTTGCTCGACATAGTAAAGGTGTGTCTCAGTTGAACTTTTACTTAATAAATGCACTTCAATGGTCAAATTAGCTGCATGTCAACGGGGCGGCGAAGCGAAATGAAGCTGATTTGACGGTTGCTCCAGGCATGATCCTGGAGCTGGACGAAGCTGGCAGTTTATGGCAAGCCAATTGTGTCATTAATAGCCACTTTTACTTATTACATGACACAGCAGCATGCCATATTACTTGAGTGCCACCTAGCGGCTGAAAATGGTAGTGTTCAATATTTTCAATGTCAGAATGAATGAAAAGGGTCGTATCTCTGCCAAAAATTGGTTTATAAATATTGGGGGGGGGGGGGGGGGAGGAACACAAGTTGCTTCGGTGTATAAGTAGCAGGTCATGCAAATTATGAAAAAAAACTGACTTATATGCCAGAAAATACGGTATATCCTCTTTAACCTTAGGTTTTGTTCTTGTAAGTTTTGTTTTTACCTATTTGTATAAATTTGATCAGTAAGTCTGAGGTCGGAATCATTCAACTTGGAGGCAGTGCACATATTAATTGCTGAAACAGGGCTTCAAACGGGCTGATGCTCATTTGAATGAGACTCGAGGCTTCTTTATGCAAATTTTAAATACCCACAGCAAATCCACTGCCTCTGGAAACATTGATAAAACTAATCTGTCCATTTGGTACTGCATGACTTCTTGACAGATGTAACGCTGCAGAAGCACAATTTGGTGAAGTATATTTATCATTTGAACATGAAAATGTCAAAGATTGTGTTGTAAATGACTCTCCGCTACTACCACACCAACCTTAAGTTAATATTTGTAAACTTGAGTGAGTTAGAGCAATTTATGTGTTTGCTAAGCTTTATTAGCTGTGGCAGCCATCTTGAATCAGTTTGACTCCAACAGTTAATCCCTAGCTGCTCAACGTTTCATTAAAATTCATCCAGTGTTTTGTAAACTATTATGCTAACAGATGGATAAAAGAACACACAGCCACATCAACTACATGACTACCCTCCTTTCATGGCGTAGGACAATAATAAAATGTTAAATAAAGCAGAGTGGAGGTTTTTTTCAGTATGTGAACAGTAAGCAGGTGTTGCAGCATCCAGTCAGGTCAGATTATGAGTCAGTGATGTGTTGCTGCGTTGCATCGTTGTGTTTGTGTTTGAACCTTCTCTCAGACGAGGGCTGGGCAGAGTGTAAGGTGAGACCGCCGTGCTCAGAGAGAGATTACTTCCAGATCCACACAGCCTGCGACAGCGAGGGCAAGGTCAGAAAGACTCGTGTTTTTAACGCACCGGCAAACTCCGCAAAGACGTTGACTTTTATTTAACAACTTATCAATTCATTTGCTTCTAGTTTAATTTATATGCACACAAAAAAAGCTAAGAATATGGTTTTTGATTATTTTTTTTTTTAATGTACAAATTAAACCGTTTTACTCCCCGAACTGTATATTTTTCTCTGTCTGCTTAAAAATATTAATCAAACATTATTATCACGGTGGTCATATTGAATCATATGAACGTTTCGCATGTGAATACAGATCTTTGTGAGCTTAGTCGAACAAACGAGAACCTTATTTAAAAAAAATGAACCACAGCAACAATTTGAAGTTAAAAACTTCAATAAGAATCTTCTGTAGTCGTGATTCTGAGTATGCTGTAACAAAAACAAAGTTTATTTCTAAATGCACCAATTAAAGAGCTTTAGTCCAACTTGTAGTTATGTCTTTTTTTTAACAGACACAGGTGCTTTATCGTTGGGTGGAGCCAAAGATCTGCGTTGAGAACATCACAGGGGCCATCAGGCTGCCTGCTACAGGGCAGAGAGAACCCTGCCCCCCCTGCAACCCTGGCTACTACAACAGCAACGACTCCACCTGTCTGCCCTGCCCACCTGGAACCCACTCAGACGGCACCTACGGTAAATCCACTCCCACCAGTCCTCAGCTAACCTAAGTCATTTTCATTACTGCGTCGTGTTGAGGCAGGTCCACATAGTCACAAGTGGGACTTACTGTACCTGCTTATTATACTGGTTTTTGTAACAAAATACAATTTACATGGATTCAAGTTCTCCGTCACCGCGAAGGATTTCCGTCATTTTGAATGTGGCCAGGACGTGACCGTCATCTGTAAAAAGGAGGAGGGGGAAAAACAAGTGTTTTGTTGGTCTTGTTAAAGCCATCCAGTCTAATACCAATAAAGAGAACCAGAACCACAGTTTGACCCAGTCAGAGCAGAGCAGGGTGGGTCCTGCTGCCTGGTTCACGGTGAGCCCGACTGTGAGCAGCAGAGAGAAACTGCAGGTGAAAGCTCACCTGCAGCAAGCCCAGGAGCACACCCACTGCCCTAACGGAACCATATACTGTATACTTTTACTAAGGTCATGTACACAGTATACTGTGTACTTGTACTAAGGTCATGTACACACTATACTGTGTACTTTTACTAA